GGGCGGGAGCCGGGAGGGAGCGGGGAGGGAGCGGGGAGGGAGCCGGGAAGGGAGCCGGGAAGGGAGCCGGGAAGGGAGCCGGGCGGGGCTCCCGGCGCGGCGCGCCCCCGGCCGAGCGCTGGGCGGCGCTGCAGCCCGCTCACCCGCGGGCTGTGCGCGGCTGCAGGGCCTGAGTGTGCAGGGAGAGGGTGTGGGGACGGCTGCGGGGTGTAAATGCACACTACGGGGTGTAAATACGCAACTACAGTGTGTGCGTACACCTACGGGGTGTGAATACATGGCTACAGGGTGCAAATACACCCACAGGGTGTAAATACACAGCTACAGGGTGTGCGTACAGCTGTGGGGTGTAAATACAAAACTACAGGGTGTAAACACACAGCTATGGGGTATGCATACACCCTCAGGGTGTAAATACTCAGCTACAGGGTGTAAACACAAAGCTATGGGGTATGCATACACCCACAGGGTGTAAATACACAGGGTGTAAATACACAGCCACAGGGTGTGCATACACCTACAGGGTGTAAATACAATTATAGGGTGTGCATACACCTAACAGGGTGCACATACACAAGGTTCACACACACACACCTACAGCCTGCACACACTGCTACATCCCAGCCTTTTACAGCCTTCTTTCCCACTCTCACTGGAGTACAAGGCACAGTGAAGCTGGGACACTGTTCTTACCATTATCATGACACAATCTGATAAATTAGCAGGTCTGAACTACACCACCAAAGCAAGAACGTGAGGCTGGAAATGCTGGTGGTGTCAACTCCCTCCTGGATCAACCTGCATTTTAGCAAGGGCTTCTTCCCCCTGGCACTGCAGACATGACTAATGAACCTCACTGTTCCTAAAGTACACTGACTTTCCAACCCCAATCCATGCTCATCTGATCTTGCACTAAGTGACTTTTAACCTGCTCTGTTGCTGAAATCAGTGGTGTCATATTTTATATTTTAATGGGGGGAATATTTAATATCCTGTTGGACATTTTCTTGCTAGATCTTTAAATTCCTCTTATAAAATAATATTTCTGTTCCCCTGGTTACCTGTTTGCATCCTCAAATTGCTGTTTCTGGATCTTTGAAAGCCAGACTTCTATTTGATAGTCCAGGTGAAGGCATAGAATCAAAGAATCATTAAGGTTAGAAAAAACCTCCAAGATCATCAAGCCCAACCTTTGGCTGAAAAACCACCATGTCAATGAAACCATAATGGTAAGTGCCACAACCAGTCATTTTTTCAACACTTCCAGGAAGGGTGTCTCCACCACCTCCCTGGGCAGCCAGTTCTAGCGCTTAACTACCCTTTTCATGAAGAAATTCTTCCCAATGTCCAACCTGAAGCTCCCCTGGTGGAGCTTGAGGCTATGTCCTTGTCTAGTTTAGGGCAAATTTGGGGAAAACCCTCTGGAAGGAGCCCCCAGAAAACAAACCCCCACGGCCCCTCCCCACCCACCTGGTTTGGGAAAAAATTTTCTCTGAGAGAAGTGGAAAAGAACCTGTTTATTTAACAAACAAAGCACTCCCCAGCACCAAAAAAAAATTAACAACACCAGATGACAGCAAAACTCTTTCACCACTCTGAAGAGATGAACAAATCCAGAAAGTCTCTCCTGGGAGTGGTCGCCCGGGTCTGGGTATTGGGGATTGCTCTGGGCACTGGGGATGGCTGCTGCAGATCACAAAATGCAGGCTCTGGGTGTTCCTCGGTGTTTCCAGGTCCCAGTCTGGAACAGGTTGGTTGGTATTCAGGAAAAGGAAAGGAAACAGTTCAAGGAAAGAATAGGACTGCTTAGCTAAACTAACTAGGAAGCAAAGGCAAAAGCAGAAGCAAGCAAGCAAAGCCAGCAAGCCAAGCAAGCAAGCAAAAGCAAGCCAGCCAGCACCAGCCTCTTCTAGACAGCAGACCATGGGGGGAGGTGAACCAGCTGATAACAAGACAAAACAAACCTTCACTTTCAGTCAGTTCTGAAAGCACAGAACATAATATCAAACACAAACAGAACACACAATTGGAGATACAAACACCATAACATCACCCTAGGACAGTCCTCTTGTCCTGTCAAGAGCTGCCTGGCAGAAGAGACTGACCACTACCTGGCTACACCCTCCTTTCAGACAGTTGAAACATTTAAATCAGGGTGATGATTTCAATCAGTTGAAGAGGGTGATACGGTCCCCTTGAGCATCATCTTTCCAGGATAGACACCTCCACCTCACTCTGCTGCTCCTGACAGGACTCATTGTCCAGACTTTTCACAAGCTCCATTGCCCTTCTCTGAACATGCTCCACTGCCTCAACATTTTACTTGTAGTGAGGGGCTAAGAACTGGACACAGCACTCAAGGTGTGGCCTCACCATTGCCCAGTGCAGGACAATCTCTGCCCTAATCCTGCTGGCCACACTATTGCTGGTACAAGCCAGAATGCCATTGGCCCTCTTGACCACCTGGCCACACGCTGGCTCAAGTTCAGCTGGCTCTCAACCAGCACCCCTGGATCCTTTTCCACTGGGCCATTTTCCAGCCACTCTGCTCCAGTCAGTTATCAGTCTCATCAGTACAAGGAGTTGTCTGCCCTATCTGAATCAGACACAAATCTTCTAAAATCTCCAATAATTGTATTTTTCCATTAGAGCCTATGATAGTCTTGAATTATTTTTGCCTTTTCCTCTATTTTTTCTTTCTGCCTCTCTTTGCCAGGGAATGATTCACCTTCAGTTTATGCTGTCAGTTGTGAAAGCCCCTACATGTATGAATTCCATTTAATCTGTGGAACTGCTGTAAAATTTCAGGGTTAGGGATGTTCTCCTCTATGATGCCCAGATGCTATTCTCTGCTGACAGTGCTCTCCCAAGCTTTTGTCCTCATCAGGTTAATTAGTACCTTCCCTGCCCCCAGAAAAAAAAAAAAAACAAAAAAACAAAAAAAAAAAAAAAAAAAAAAACCACACCTGACAACACCAAAGACTGCATAACCACACCGAAACAGCAATCCTGAACTTGTAAAAACATTTCCAAAGCACTGCAGCTGAGTTACAGCACTAAGGGTCAGCAGTTTGTTTTCCTGCAGTTTTGTGGTTTCAGGCCCTCTAGATGGCTGCATAACACCAGCAGTATGCCAGCTGCAAAAAGGGAATAGGTACAACAAGGCACAGATTTTACATCAGGTTACTCTGAAAAGGACATCTTTATCACTAGTTACGTGGTGACATTCAAAAGCCCTGTATGGACCAGGTGATCAGTTACCCTTCCACAAGGGTCACTGACAGGAACACTGACAAACTTGACAACAGCCTCAGCTGGAAGACCTCACTGTTTGGAATTCTACATTAGATTATTTTTTCCCACTCTTATTCATGGTATTTTATATAATACAACATTATAATACAACGTCTCAGTGAATGAGTCTGCAAGAGTAGCTGTAAACTAAGCTGCTGAAAATCACTAGCACAAATACCTATGCATTGACACGGCCCTCACAGTTTTAGATGGCATAAATGAAAAGCAAGTTCTGCTATTCCTACAGTCCCTGACAGACAGCAGTGGAATCTGGGAGCAAAAGCTCTAGAAAAATGGCAGCAGAAAGACCTATTTGTCATTTGAGCAGTAATGAGGTAACAGGCATTATGTGTGTCTCAGCAGCTACACAGGCCTGGCAGCCCCTTCAAAGCATGGCAGCTTTCTCTGAGGCTAAAATTAACAATCAGCCTTAGGCAGAATGAGGATTTGTGATGGTAGAGGTGTTTTCTTGGTACAAATCAGGAGCATCACTTCTGTTTGAAGGTTTGCACTGTGCTTACTCATTTCCAGAATGGCTGCAGAGTGTCCTCCCCCCTGCATCCATGAAGAGAGGATCAGACATCTTTTGCAGATTGGGTCAGGCATCATTAGCAGAGAGTCTGTCCCTATTAGATGTTCACGTCCCCTTTTTCAACTTCTATCACTTCTGAAGCTGGCATAGCACCTGAGTTGAAGGGGTTGTGTTTTGACTGTAAAGTTAAAATGCCATTTGGTCAAAGTCTCCATTTCTTATGTGGCAAGTTGAGATGTGGTTATCAGGAACTTAAGCAAAAAAATCCAGAATTAAAAAGGACAGAGGTAACAGGAGGCCTTTTAAAGAGGCCCTTACTTTTGCCTTTCTATGCAAGGTGAGCTTTTCAAAAACTCTTTATTAAGTAATCACAGACTGGCTAAGGTTGGAAGGCACCACAGTGGGTCATCTGGTCCAACCTCCCTGCTCAAGCACATTACACAGGATTGCACACAGACAGCTCTTGAACACCTCCAGTGAGGGAGACTCCATAACCTCTCTGGACAATCTGTTCCAGTGCTTTGTTGCCTGCAAAGCAAAGAAATTCTTCTTAATATTCAAGTGGAA